GTTATTGTAAGATAACCATCACTATTAATCGTTGTCCACAAGTCTGAAGTCAAACTACTCCTATGAGGACTATTTGTCAATAGAGACATAATTTTGTTCTTCTCCATATCGTATAATTTTAGAAAATTAGTCTTTCCCGTGTTTCTAGTGATTACTTGTACATCAAGATGAAGAAATTGAAAATATACTCTAATACCTTTATACTCAACAAATCGGAGTGGCAAGTTATGCATGGACATGGCAATCGGAACTAACTTTTTAAATTTTTCAGGATCAAATGTACTACAGAAAAAGACATTGTACTTTGATTGGACGATAACAACATCTGGCCTACATCTTTTGCGTATGTCGCAATACATTTATTTATATGCCAAAATAAATGTCCAATTTCCTTACTTGAAAAAATAATGAAAATATTGTGGCAATGCTTACATTTTGCTCTTTGTTTCCTCTTGTCTTCACAAGAAAACTTATCAAAATGATCCCAATATTTTGACATTCCCTTTCTCTTTTTTGTTGTTGTTTTTGTATAATTTGTTTTTAATGATGCTACAGTAAGATCATCGTTTGTTGCATCCCTACCTTCAAATACATCAACATCTTCTTCTAGGTAATAGTACGCACTAGGTAATAGATCATTATCAAGATTGACAATAGGGGCATTAGTGTGTACCATATTCATATTAATTTTGTTAGCACCTACGTGAACAAAGCAACAATGAGTCAATAGTGCACTAGGTAATACAAATAAATATCCAAAACTCCACCGATCTAACAAAAATAATAAACAAATGAAGAGAAAATGACTAAATTAAGAAATGAAAGGGAAAATAACCAAATCAACAAATTAATGGTAAGATTAAAAAAAAAAAAAAAAAAAAAAACAAGAAGAAGAAGTAAAATGCAGGATACTAAAAATTAAAGATAAAACTTTAATCAAACTGAAATGTCAAATTTTAAAATTAAAAGTTAACACAAAATAAATAAATAAACAAGATCTGACCTATCATGGAGAGAGAAAACAACTCGTGTCGGCAAGATTTCACAATGGCGGCAGATGTCAAAGTTAGCAACAAAATAAATTGAAGGTGCGGAGGATAAAGACAAGTCGACAACGGAAATGGCAAGAAACAAAAACATTAGCGGTGAGAGATTGAGAAAGAAACTGGAACGACTGAAACGGATTGGATAAGTGAAAATTAAATTTGTTGATTTTTTCTTATGTGAAAAAAGTAAATTTTTATTATATAATATATATAATTTTTTTTTTTAAATTTGCACAATTCAGAGCGGCTTGGCACAGCCCATATTTTAGAGGCCCGAGTCCAGCATGATTTTTCAATCCGGTCGGGCCAACCCGGTCTAAATTTTTTCGGGCTAATTTTTTAAGTCTAAGTTCGATTTTTTTTGTGCCGTGTTCAGGTCTCTAAATTGTCATCATGGTTGTTTTCTTAAACAATGTGCTCAAATTTACCATAGTTGTATAGACCTAGATCTTTCTTGTTCTTCACATGCCTTATTAGAGCTTTTTTAAGTGTTTTGGTTGTCTTTTTCTATGAGGGGTTTGGTAATCAAATATTCAAGAGTCAAGGTGTTTACTTGTTTTAAAGCTCTTAAAGTCTTTTAATGTACGCTTTGGATAATTTAATGGAGAAGTTAGGGGGGTTTCAATCTATGATTTTACGGTCACGAGTTTACTCTAATCTCATCAGGTCATTCCTTACGGAGCGATTGCTGAGTTTATTCATTTGATAGTGTCTATTGATGGTGCAAATTAAAGTTTTGTCTTATCTATATTTGGTCCAATTAGTTATGAGTTGAATTTATTTTCGATTACTTTGTAAACATCTTATTACATAAATTTGTTATTCCATATATATATATATATATATATATGAAAAATATAGTTTATTAAATCATTTTTTGTATATATTTATTTTTCAACTCATTGGAATTCAAGTTTTGAAAAAAAAAAAAATACTACACAAAGCATAAAATAATTCTCCATTATTTAATTTCCAACAAATTAAATATTTCGTCAATCAAATTTATTCAAAATGAGAATTCTAACAAGTATGAGCTAACAATATATCTTATGATGGTATAAACCAAAATAATATCCAATATGTATTTTTCAAGGCTAAGGAAGAGTTAAAGAACACAAAAATTGAAGTAGTATAGAACTGTACAAATAAGTAGAATTGACAATTCTGATTTTCAATCCGAACCAAATTTTTCGAAAAAATAAATCCAAATCAAACAGAAATGATTGAATTCAAAATTCGAATTGAAAACAAACCACCGAAAATTTCAAAATTTTAAATTATTATTATTTTTTTTTTAAATTTAAAATTTTTATTATTTTTTTTAAAATTTAAAATTTAAGTTTGTTTGCCCAGTATATATATAGCATGCTCTCCCAAAAATCGATATTCAATATAAAATATAATTTTATTTTTTTAATTAATGCCACAATTTATTGTAACTCAACCTAAAAATAAATTAAAATCAAAACACTAAACAAACAAATTTTTTATTTTATATTTTTTAAAATTCTTTTGTAATATTAAATATACTATAATAAATAAAAATAAGTATATTAAAATATAATTAATCATTCTAAATTTTTATTTTTTATTAAAATACTTCATCAGTCCTATGAATAATTAGTCTACTTTTCCCTTTTTTGTTGTCCACCAAATTGGTCCTACTTCTTAATAAAATAATAATTAACAAATAATAATTTAATTTATAAACTTAAATATATTATATTAAATTAATAATACTCCCTCCGTCCCATAACAAAGTATTTTTTTTAGTAACTGTACTATCTACCTAACGTTACAAATGCCCTTACAACTTACAATATATTACACAAATATCATTACCTTTATACACACATACTAACAAGGTTATTTTAGTCATTTCTACTTTATTTCTACTATATCCCAATATAATTCTAATATTTCTAAAACTACCACTACAAGAAAAAATTATTTTTGTAACAAAACGTTTTTGTCTCTAAATCTACTTTTTCCGTTACTAATGACATTAGAGACGGAATTAGGAATGGAATTACGTTAGCTACGTGAACTTTAGGGACGGAATTCCGTTACAAATATATTATTTTTTTGTAGTGTACATGTAAAAAGCAAATGAATATTTCTTTTTGGACGGAGGGAGTACTTTTTCTTTAGAGTATTTTTAGTCATACATTTGAGATTTTTAATAACAAAATTTTAAATTAGAAAATGATTTGATGTAATATAAATAGGTATTGATGTAACATTAAATTAAATTCTAGTATAATATTACTTTCGTTCGGCTCTAAGGGTCCTGTTTACTTTTTGCGTGTTAATATTTAAATATTAATTATTATATCAAAACATAGTACAAATTAACAAAAAATTAAAAAAATACTTTAACTACTGTCTTATAATACCAATAGAATGACATTTGTACAAAAAATTATACAAATATAAAACTATTTTTAATGTTAAGTACAATGACGCAAAAAGTAAATATGATCCATAGAGGCAGACGTAAAGAATATTAAAAAACAAAAATATATACTTGTTCATATTTTTAGTTCGACATATATATATATATATTTTTAACTATGAAAATCGTGTTGAGAATATAAAAAAAATGATTTTGTTTTAATTAAATTGTTAAATGTTTACGAGCATGTATAATATAATTTATTGTATTGATGGTTATATATTATCTTTTTTAAATAATATTAGGTTTGTTTGTTTAGTGTTTTGATTTGAATTTTTTCTATGTGAAATATTGGGATCGTATCGGTAATAGGAAAAAAAAAATTTATGTTAAATGTTGACTTTTAGAAGATGATAAAATATATATTTTTGAATCGTGTCAGAAAGAAAAATTTGGACAAACAAAATCATTAATCGTAAAACATATCAAAAAATTTTGTTGGGGTGTTTGATTTAATATTTTGGATGGAGGACTCAGTACATAATGTGATTTTAATTTATATTTTATTTCATTAAAAAAAAAAAAAAGATTACGCACTTTAGTGTTCAGGATTTTTTTGTATTTTTATGGTTAGTTATTTAGAATTGTAAAAATATTATTTAATATTTAATTGTATTATTTTGTAAGGAAAAAAAAATACTCCTTCATATTTTTACAAAGAATTGAAACTAAATTGACGGAGGGAAGAAGTATTAGTAGGAATGGTAATTAATATTTTGTGAAAGTGGACAAATCTAAAAGATCATCTATTACATTTATCACTATTAATAACTAAATTTAATTTATGATTTAATTTTTCATATTTACTTTTGATATAATTTTATGTAAAATATTATTTAAATAAAAATTTATAATCATATTATGTTTTTATTGCTTTAATTACTTTTAAATTATTAAAATTAGTTTAATTTTTTGTTACCTAATTATTGTTTCACAATTAATACAACAATTTTATTTTCGAAATTAATTTCAAAATATAATATATTTAGCATAAAAAATAAAATAATATTTCAGTAAATAAAAAATAATTAAAATAAAAATATATTACAAATATTGTACAAATTAATCAAAGTAATTAATCATTTAATACAATATTTTTCAACTCGGTGTCCAAAAAACAATGGATTAATTTAATGTGATGGAGAAAGTATTAAATATATAAAATAATAAAATATATTTAAATATTAAATTTTGGATTTCATATTATGTGAATTTATCCAAAGGATCATGAAATTCAAAATTTATAAAATATTAAAATGGAAACTAAAATTTAAAATTATTAACAAGAATATAATAATAATAATAATAATAATAATGAAAAGTTTGCTTCAGTTGCACTGCAGAGATGGGGGACAAAAGTTCTGCCTCATAGGATCATCCTCCATGAATTCATATACTATTATTTTCCAGCCCCACAATTTGACTCTCATTTTCCTCCGCAGTTTAACCTACAATTTAAAACTACTACATATGTACGCTGTCTAACGAGCAACAGCTCATATCAACTCAGAACCCACTTTCATTCAGACATTAACCAAACCATTTCAGTAATAGCTACTTTCGTGAGTTTTCCCCAAACGTTTCTTCTTCGTTAGGACAAAAATGGGGGCAGTATAGAGACACCTCCCGCCGGCCATGCTCGAAACTAAAAAACTATACACAAATACATTGCAAGCATGCTCGAAGGAGCTCGGGTCGGGTCGGGTCTCGTCGAATCAAAAGAATTTTCCTTTCTTCAAGTTTGGGAATGCCAGATTGCTCCATCGCCCTCACCGCAGCGCCGGTGAACGTCGTCCATTGTTTCCTCCGATCGGCATATCCCGCTGCAGCTCCAATCGAACGATGCCGCGCAAGGCGTTCCCGCCTGGGCCTTCCACTCGCAATCTCATAGATCGATCGACAAAAACTTATCAGATAAAATTGAAGAAAGTTGAAGGACATATTGAGACACAGAACAACTGATTCTACCAGGGGGTGAGCCGCAACACAGGCTTCGCTCGTCGACGTGCTCGACGTCGAGACCGATAAACCAAGACCCGAGAGAAACATCTTCGTTCGCGTACTTGTGGAGCACGTCTCTGCAAGAAAAAAGAGAGTTCTTTTTAGCTGAAATCGCGTCTTATACTGTATTTGAATCGTACCCTTTTTTCATACCGGTTAACGGAAATGTAGGTAGCCAAGTCTTTCGAAATTGCATAAATTTGCCCCGTCGCATGCCTGAAATACTTGTTCCCCTCCTCGCCGAATTTCCAATGTTCCGGCTCGTGGTACTTGACTCCCCTGCACACAAGGCAATTGTTCGATTAAATCGAAGCCAAAGTAACCGAATAAATTAATATGGAATTCACAGAGTGCTTAACAAGTTACTTTTGGGCGAGGACCGGGCCGGATTTCATGCAGCCGATATAGGTGCGGCGTTTGGAAGGAATACGGGACAACAATGAATTTAGAACACCTGCGAAAGAACATGAATCAATGGCTCCTCAATACATAGGAGTTTGTATTTTTGGGAGTCAAAGGTTGTCCTAACCAAGATTGACGTGGACATCGTCGTCAACTTTGACATAGAAGTCGGCGTCCCACATTGCAGCAGCTGTCGAAAAGTAAATCTGAGTTTTCAAAGACAGCTCGTGATACCCCTCGATATGATCCTGTCAGGCAGAGTCAAAACACAAAAACTAAAGCTCAATTTATGCATCCGGTGAAATTATATGCATCGAGACAAATTCGGGAAAATAATGTAAGAATACCAATCGCAAGAAATCCCTGTACTGATCTTCTTCGTCGTCGATCGTTTTGTCCAAAACTCCACCAGGCGACGCACTGGAAGTAGTAAAAAAAAACACATTAGGTACCAAATCAAAACATACGGCGAATACATATCGATTTTAAGGTTTCAAGACAATGTACCTATGTCCTATCACAAATCTTATGATTATCCCTTTCTCGTCCTCCAGCTTCTTCAATTCTTTTCCTAGTTAAGGATATCGATAACGTGCAAGAAAACAAAAAAACAAAAGACTCTGCTTTAGCTATTAAGCAATAAATTGTCGAACCTTGTGGCATCCATGTCTCCCTAACAGAATCACGTCGTTTTCTGCTGCTAAATGCTGTAATAATTCCAATTACAAAAAATGCCCTCCGGCGTCCATTCGATGACTCATCTCCAATCTTCGTATCGATAGGGCGGTTTTCACCGCTCTCTGCTTTGGCTGCTCGTGCTGCAGCAAGTTGCATTTCCAGTGAAGATATGGTTTTATCTAATGTCCTGAAGGCATTGGGATTGCGCGAAAACGACAATGTAAGAGCACCCAAACTAAAATCTAATTCAGAATTTAGGACAAAGATAGCTAGCATTCCTTACATGATCATGTCCTCAGTTTTCAAAGCTTTGGAAAGGATGCCCTTGTTCTTTGAGACATCCAGCTACAAGATACGAAAGTTCGCTTCACGATTTCATACACCGGACATGTTTGCGCACAAAAGAGCTAGAGAGTAATCACGACTTGCCTTATTCTCACACTTGATAGAAGGATATGTATTTTTATATCCATATTGACCTTCGGATGTTCCATTCTTGTCAGTACCGGCTTCTGAACTGGACCAAAACCTAGATCATTACATCGTAAATGGTGGTTATTAATGTTAACAAGCTTATAAAGATTTTCACTGCTAGTTGTGATCGATTCGAAGATCAAGCAAAATGCTAAACTAATTTAACCTCTCGTAAACATTGATGTATTTCTACGACAATTCTGGTACTTGATTCATCTGAAGAGGTAAGGAACAGATTCAAATGACACCTTAAGCTATCCTAGTTCGATCCAAACTGATCTTACAACTTATGACGAGTTTCATCTTCAATAATAAATCACTAGTGAAGAATTATATCTCGAAAACATGAATTTCCCGTGAGCAATCAAGTCACCATTAAACTATTTGATCCAACAATCAAACCTCAAACCATAGCTATTCAGATTTCAGAGAGAACCTTAACCATTAAAACAAGGGATAAAGAAGCTACATTCTATTGAAAATAGAAAATAAAAAACCCAATTTTAGATACCATTAATAGGAAATCAAAATTGCAGTTGAGAAGCAATGTGTGTTCCACCAACTCTTGAAAAAGGGGCTAGCATAAAAAGTTTGATTGGCCATTTTCCAAACAAAGCTTCAAGAAGCAGAAATCTTTAAAAACAAACTACCAAAATATCACAAAGTTATAACATACTCAAAACCCCCAAAATGCAATTCTTGGAAAAAAATAAAAATAAAAAACCCAGCAAAAAAGAGGAGATGACAGAAAGCAAGCACCTGTTCACAAAAACAACACCCAAAAAGAAGCTTGCAATGCATAATACCGAGACCCATCTCGCCGGAAAACCGCTGAGGGTTGCAGCACCGCCGCCTCTGTACGGCTGCCGGGTGCCAAGCATCAGCCCCATCTTCTCCGCCACAAAAAAGATCAAAACTTCGAAGATAAACTGAACAGGAGTAGGAAAGGGGGAAGCTTTTCAAAGGGCTTTGCTTTGAGTATTTTTAAATGTGCAGAAAGCTCAAGCGGTGAGCTAATGGCGAAACCATTTGCAAATAAAAAGTAAATCCTAAAGAAAATGGGGGCAACTGTGGAGAAGGAAGGGATACGCCATCATCATTAATCATTCAATACTATTTAAGCAGCAAATAAATACAACAGTTGGGAGTCTTGTTTGGGTTAAAAACAAGAAAATGAAATAAGCCCCCTGATTCAAAAATTTAAAAAGAAAATTTTGAAAACCATTTTCGAAATTTCTGTGCGTGTGTGTCCTGCTGCTGCACGGCACGCACCTCTTTCCGTTCCGTTCCGTTGCGTTTCTTAGACAAGGACAAAAAGTGACACTGGCAACAGCTTTCTAGGCGTGTCGCTCTGTCTTCTTTAACCACTTTATTTTATACTCCACACTGTAGTGCATTTACAAGTTTATCCTGTTTTTTCCCCAACCTCTTCTTCCTTCAAACTTAACCAATAGTTTTGAAATATTTTATCCGTTTTAATGTATTTGTTATTATTTTTAATTGACATATTTTCCAATATTTATATATATATATTTTATCTTTATTAATATATTTTATAAAATTATAACAAAGTGAAATGATAAAATACTATTTAAATTATGAGTTTTTTTTTTTAATTTTAAATACAAATCAATATTAAAATATAATATTTTTTATAAAAAATTACATAAAATTACTATTTAATTCAGAAGTTAAATAAATAATAATAATTTCAAATAAAAAAAACAAATTCCATACTATCTAAAAAGTAATACTAGAATAAAAACTAGTAATTAAATTGACACAAATATGATAACTTAAGGTTTGTTTTATGTTTTTATTTTATTTTTTTGTTTTTGAAAAATTTAAGTCGAACATATAATTAGATATTATTATGCCAAAGAGTTTGCTAGATTTTACAAAAATCACAAAGAATTCAAGACAGCAAAATGTCAGTTTAGCTAACAGAAATGACAGCTAAAGTGGCGAATCCCAATACGAGAGGAATGTTATAGGGTTAAAACGCAAGAGGAAGGTGATCCAAATTGATTGAAGCCCAAAGGGGTGGATACCGGCTCAAATGTAAGAAATGGTAAATCATATGTTGAGCTAAAAACAAATTTGAAAGAAACAGCCCAAGAGAAATAAATAAATCCATTTTAATTAAAAGCCACATAAAAAATGTACTAGTCCAGTTGCGAATTATAGAGTTTGTTTTTTTTTTGAAGAAAAGTTGAAACCGATGGATTTCTATACATTTGTAGCTATTATTAAAATAATAATTTCTAATAATGTTAATGCATAATTGAACATTTGAAAGTTACACCTGTTACCAAGTGATAGAGGAGTTGGAGGAGTTTCGTTAAAGGGGCAAAGAGTTACAATGATAGTGGAACCACATTACGCAAATTTTGGAAATTAAAGCCATTAAATAGTAGATCATTAAACCATCTTTTAAGATTATGACGATCACTAGGAAACGGGGGAGATCACATTCAATAATTTTGGAGTTATCGGCTGTTATTTAGGCATGATGAAGGTTGAAGATCAATTATTCAAGCTGGAATTACCAAGTGGTGGATAAATAATGAGTTAGAAGTTTGGGCAGTTATGCACTCAATTGTTGGGAGTCTTCAATGATGAACAATTAAGAGGCAGTTATGATCTTGTTCATCATGAGACTATATTAACTTGAAAATTAGAGATGAAAAAGGATCATTGACCAACAACACAAACTTTCAACTATATCATTTTTATATTTATAGTTCTTTTATCTTTCTAGCATTTCCTACAGAATTTTTATGAAATTTTATTTTTCAAGCCTTTTCCAATTCATTTTTTTAGCAGATTTTTTGCTAATCCCCTTTTCCACAAGACAAAATATTATTCCTAAGAGTTTTTTGGAGTGCTTTAGGGAATCCCTTCCTATTTTTCGATCGATTTTTTCAAGCTATCGTGAAATTAGAATATTCAAATTTTCACATACAATATATATAAATTCATGTGACCAAAACTACTTTGCGCATCAGTCCCTCCAAAAAGTGTACACATTATACACTTATTTTCATAATTTATTTTCAAGTACTCGACACCCTTAATTTTTTTTTATAATGGCCCTACGATTGTGAAATTTCACTCCTACCCTCTACAATCAACCACTCTTCCTCACCTTCCAGTCTCTGCTATGTTTTTATGCGAATCATCCTCTTCCATCTAACCTACTAGTTGTCATCGTGATTACCATTAGCCCATTAATTGCATCATCATAAGAAAGGAGTGAAGGTGTGTCGTTTGCTATTGGAGTTGAAAGGATCAAAATTCATCAATGAGGTGTTAACGGTCGGGGATAGCATAAAAAAAATCAACCGGAAATCACCCATCCTTTGTGCAGGCGGACAACCCTCCCTCCAGCAGACACACTTGAAGCTACGAAGCTCTCTTTAGTGGCAATTGAACCACTACAAAAAAAAAAAAGAAATTTTTATTTTGTCACGGAATACAATTAATTTATGAAAAAAATTTCGACGGAATACAAATTTGTGGCAAATTCTAAATTAAAACCTCAAACCCCTTTCTCTTTCACTTCATTGATTACAAGCTTACCTATCCAAAATTCTCACATCGGCAGCAGTAGAGACTCGGGGAATGACGAAAATGTGTCACGACAGGCAATGGTGGCGGCCAAAGGTTGTGATTTGCGGGCTAGGAAGAGGTATTGAGTTTTTTTTTTTTTTTTTTTTTTTTATTTTACTTCATTCGTTGCCCGCTGCCGGCGACAACAACTTTAGTACTTCATGCAACATCCACATCAAAAACATTAAGTTTGTTGAAGTTTTGTTGATATACTTCTTTCAGTGGAGAATAATTTTGACGTAACAACCCCAGGAAGGTCTTAGATGTATAATAGGATTCATAACGACATTACAAGTAGAGAATTTATTTGAAAAGTTAATGACTTCATAAACTACGTACTACATGAACAACTCAGGCGTGTATAAGATCAACAATACTATACGGTGTAAGTGCAAACATGTTAAAAACATGATTGTTTTATATATATATAATTCGATGAATTTAAGTGTCATCTATACTCTAAAGGTTTTGTACAGTTGTATGGATAGATAGATAGATATGTCATAATGAGAAGTAGCTCACAACAATTTGAGCTAGTAAACTTTGAATAAACAACTGAATCGAGGATATAAATTATACCCTAATGATGATAGATGTAGGATGGTCCGTATCTGACTTAAGCATTGTGATACCCTCCGGAGTTGGGTCGTTGCTTGGCCAAATCCTATGTGTGGATGAGCTGGTATTAGGCCCTCCAAAGTTAATTAGAGGTTAAAATAGATTGAATAGACTACTCATGTCAACAATGTGCACATACCTTTTTGGAAGCCCTACTGAAAGAACTCTAGAGTTAAGCGTGCTTGCCTTGAAGTAATTTGAGGATGGGTGACCCCTTTAGAAGTTTTCTAGGTGCGCGTAAGTGAGGGCATAAACGAAAAAACCTTCTCGATTGCATGCTATACTTAAAGAAAAAATGTTGATTTAAATAGTTGTAATTTTTGCGCAAAACCACAGTATAAAAATAAACATGGGAGAGTGGTACCAATTCGATATAACATTTATCTACCGATCACCTCAAGACTAAAAAGACGATGTGTCATCTAAAATAGTGTCACATATTCATTGGCATGTGGATCATTGACATGCAATATCGATGATATGTTTCATCCTTTTGATTCAGCAGCATGGAGAGATTTGGATACGATATACCACTAGTTCGAAGTTGAGCCCAAAAATTTAGTTCTGTAGGACAGGTATATGGTATTATGGCCAATAAGAGATTGGCGTTTTCTATGCTATTCACTCCACCTCTATCAGACCCTCAATTCCCTTATTTGTGTCCTCACTTTTCTCGTCTATATCAACCTCTTTTCTCATGGATCACATAAAGTTTAATACGTGGATTTTGCCTTTGAACCTATATATTGAGATCTTTACAATTGTTTTTCTATTTTTCTTATACGTAAGATCAAAGATGTATATTAATACCGAAAGAATATATAACAAATACGCTAGACATACCTGAGAAATCAAGAAGCGTTCAAACAACACCAAGACAACACGAAGATAAATATGCTTTTGTACTTAGTAATTTGGTTAGTGGATCTAAGGTGTTGCCTTTTAAATTCTAACTTACTCTTAAAGATAGTTCATTACGGTATACCAAAAATATTGAATCAGATTGTAAATCGTATTATATTTTTTAGTGTAAAAAAAAAGATATATTGGTACGATATTGAAAATTTTCAAAATACTGGAAAATTTGTATACCAAAAATTTGGTATGACAAATATATATACCGATACAATAACAAAATTTTGGTATACCAAATTGCTCGTACGGATCGGTATATATATTGTTTCATACTGAAATATTGAAATAAGAAATTATTTTTATAAATTTAGAAATAATAATAATAATAATAATAATAATAATAATAATAATAATAATAATAAGAATAATAGTATCTATATATCAAATTTTCGTTATATACCGATATACCGAACACCAAAATATCAAAATGACATACGGCATTTTCGATGTATACCAAAATACAAAAACTATCGAACAACATACCATTACCGTACCAAAATTTTTTGTATACTAAAATTTCGATATGTTCAATATTTGTTTTTGTACAATATCACAATATTTTGATAATTACTCAAATTGAGACAATTATTTAATGGTTTTGTTGACATTAATGCATGGTACTTAATCAATGTCCTTTCTCATTGGTTGGCTATCATATATAGGTAACATAGGTTTGTCCGATCTTATATATCCTCTAAAAATTGATAAAGTCATATAACAAACACTTATCCAAAATAATTAATGTATTATGATTTTATGGTGATCTCACTATAATAATCTCTTTTGAAGATTTCTTAGCACTGCAGCTCCAATTAGTGTGAAAACGTAGCAAACTAGTATATATTTATATATAAATATATTTTACATATATCATATATATTCAAGCTACACGAATCTTGTATAATGCATTCCTAGGCGAGAGTATACCTAAAGTATATTTATTACTATATGAACTCAATAGGTTTATAGTGTAAATAATCTTGTCTGATTTTATACAAATCATCAAATTAAATGTAATAGAGTTC